ACTAACTACTAATACACTGCTTAAAGCATAATTGTTGAGAATGTGTAAAGTTTACTAGCTACTAAAAAAAACTTAAACTGTAATCATTTAAAAATGTGTACGTTTTCAATAATTCAATGTATTTAAAAATACAGTCATTTACATTTTAATATTATATCATGCATATTATTTTAAAAACAAATCTAAATGAACATATATAAAATATATTTTTTGCTGAGATTTGATGATGTGACAATTTTGCGTTGTGATTACGCAATGACGTCATTGAGCAATGACATCACAACGTCATTTAGCAACTTTTAGCAACAAATCGACTTTCCTTTAGCAACTTTCTCTGAAAATTAGTTGGCAACACTGCGTAAAGCCGCATTTGACAGGGTATGCCAGCCACAATCTCATCCATATTGCTGTAAAATATAGCATTCTATGTAGAATTTAAATAGCTCCGATACATTTTGTGGCCTGCGCTGACTCGCGCATGTGATCCGCTCCGTGCTATCATGTCTCTGGACCGGAGCAGAGGGTGGTTAGAGTGACACAGCGCGAAACCAGACTTCTTTATTTCCTCAATGGAAAGCATGTTTACACTGTTTGAATCGTTCCCTGTCCCCTATATAGTGCACTTCGTGCCATTCACTGTACAGAAAATACTAAGTGACCGATTTCAGCCACGGCTTCAGCATCTATTTTATAGCGTAGGGGGCGGGCGCTTCTGATTCTAGAGAGCATTTGATTGGACAGAAAGTTTGATGAGAAGCTGAAGTACGATGTGACGTCAAAAAAAAAATTGGTTGAGCCGTTTTTGCGGAAGTGACAAACTGCACGCTTTGAATGCTTATATCTTCTAAATGCGAATCTTGTCACTGTTTTGGAGCACACTGCCTTATAGATAACCTTAAGACTAACATATTGATACTAACACCCAAAAAACTTTAATTTTGATTTCATGGGGACTTTAAACTGAGACAAGCTTCAGCTGTCATTTAAACAGTTGTGTTTGTTTGAATGCAAATAGATGCACAGAAATACTGCGGCCTGTTATATTCCATAAATATACTTGTATCCAAACAATCATGTATATAAGGTGGAAATATTATCTCATTTTAAAGCTGCAGTCAGTAACTTTTAGCGCTCTAGCGATTTATAAACAGAACTGCGTGTGTCTTGCAGAAGAACATTGCAGCCGGAGCTACTTCTCTCTGTTTATGTCTATGGCGAATCACGCAGGTACTGGGCTCCTCCACAGCGGTACCTGCCCGAACCGGTTTAAATAGTCCGAATATAAACACTTATTAGGTGTACCGTAGTGATTCAGGACAAGCCAAAAACACAGTTTGGAAAATGGATTCATGGTGTACTCGCTTATTATATACATTTAATAAATTTTGAACATAAAAAAAGTTACGGACTGCAGCTTTAAGTCAACATAATATAATTTAAGTTGAAATGATTTGCACTTAAAAATTTAATACTGAACTTTGAAAAGTTTTTAAGTTAAAGTCTGCAAACTGTTTTTAAGTAAAAGCAAACAGTTTTTTTTCCAGGCCTGGAAAAGTCATGTAAATCTTAACATTTACATTTATGAATTTAGCTGACACTTTTCACTTTTATCCAAAGTGATTTACAAATAAAATCTTAAAAGTCATGGAAATTTCAAAAGTAAACATGCAGTTTTCTAATAAAACTATTTCTAGGTGTAAAATATGGATTATAGATAATGCTACATGTACACTTGCTCACAAGCTTTATTTATGAATCTTTTGAATAGGCAATTTTTTTTATTCAATCAGCTAAAATGGTTCATTCATTGGTGTCAGTGATTCATTAGCGAATCAGTTTGATCAAACAGGGGAATCCTGAACTAATTTTTCCTATCAGGATTACAGGGGTCCAATGCCTCTAAAAGGTTAGGTTAGAAAACTTTACTGATCCCTATGAATCATTTGCCACCATTCAACTATACATTACAAAAAATACAAAACAGTTCAACATTACATTCACAAACAACACAATCAAACAATACAATAATTACAGCAAGGATAAAAGAATTTGAGTTACCTCAACGGATTGCATCCCTAAATGTACCTAAATAGGACTTGTTCTTTAAAAAAGCACTAAAATCACCGTATAATTCGCACTG